CCCAGCGCTAGTGAAACCCTACAGGGGGACCCTAACCCAGAGCTAGGGTGATGGGAGTAAGTAGAGAACCTATGCGTGGGAAGTGGCTGTGCTATTGAAAAGTAACAAAAATCCCAGAGACTAGCATTTTCCGTGTGTTGCGCGTCGCAGTCTGAGCCCACCCCATAAAGAACGATTCATTTGTACCTCATTAATCGTAATAACGCTTTGCGAAGCGGGCCTGGAGGTTGTCGGAGGTTGAGCCACCTCGTGACACGGCCTTGGAGGACGCCACTGTGGCCTTCTTCTTCGTCTTCTTCTTCCCCTTGGCCTTCTGCTTCCACGCGTTCGACTTCTTCCTTTTCATGGTCATCTTCTCGCTCTCATCGCTCGCATCCGAGGTGTCATCGTCTGATGCAGACGAGGGTTCATCCGTGACGAAGTCGGAACCGTTGCCGACAGCGTCAGCCGAGTCGGACTCGGACTCGAGAATGATCGGGCGACTGCTCGCCGCGCCTGAACCCAAGTGGGATGCATCTGTCGCCGTGCTGATTAAGAGCGTAAATAGATTATAAGCGAATGAAATGAAACTGGAACTCACCTTGCAGTCCCGTGCCTCGCACGTTTGGACATCGGTTGCGTGGCCTTGGTGGTCTCCGATGAAGTAAGTTGCTGGGAGCCACCTGGTAGGATGGAGTCGGGTGATGGGCTGCGGTCCGCAACGCGACGTTTTGCTCCAGAGGGCTGAGATTTGGAGACCTCCGAAGGGTTGGGGCTCATGGAGGACTGAAGGATGAGTGACGATTGTCAATGAGGGGTGGCAGGGAATGAGGGAAGAGACAAGTGAGCACATACCGTCAAAGCAGTGGGCTACGCTATATACTCCTGAATCGTAGCCCTTCCGAGACTGTCACCGTGTTGGTCAGCCATGTGAATTTGTCTTCGTGCGATGCTGAGCAATGGTCTCACTGTAAAATCCGACCGGATCAGCCTATGTGCTGCACCTGACATGTCGAAATATTTCCCAAAGCTCACCCGGACGTTAGGAATCATCCCTGTTTGCCTAGAGATAGTCGAATGCAGGAGACATTGGCCCGCACATCCACACTACGTGCCTTGGTGTGCCGTGGACCTGCACCATGTGGCAGTGCACGAGGCTTGCTAGAATGAGCATGAGATGGGTTCCTGCATCATCCAGCGGACGGAAAAATGAGTGAGCGCAAAAACCGCATGCCTAGAGGCAGTACTCACTGATAACACTGTTGTGGTGCCTACCGCATGTCTTCGTCCATCATTCCCATTGTGGCTAGGCTTCCGGTTGAAAGACAGCATGACAGTCGTACACGGCGGCAGGCAGAGCAAGCAAAGGAACAGCAGGTGCGGGGTGAAGACGGGGTGGGGAGGGCAAAGCTCACCTGCGCAGGCGTGCACAGCCAACTGCGCTTCCATGCATTCGCACAACTCGTTTAGGAACCGCGCTTCTTCGGTGTTGGCCGCAGGCGTCACTGGACCCGACACCTCTGCTCTCTCACCTCCACGTCCTCCGTGTCCCCTCTTCCTTGTTGCTGGTCAGCCCTCCCTCCCGTCAACCCTTTGCCCAGCAACCTAACCCAGATCGTACTGGGGTTCCGCCTCTCTCTCTATCTACACCATCAACTGGCCCTATCAACACGATGCACAGATCGTTATCTGACGGGTGCTCTGCCGCACTCCTGGTGAACCTGCGTGACTCAATGAGCAGATTAGTCCAGGTACGTCTTGAAACCCAGCCGTCATCTGCCCCGCTCACCACAAGGCTCACTTTGACGCCTCGTGATCGTGCTGCTGGTCCTCTGCGTTGTGCACTGCGTACAGGCCTGATTGGTAAGTGTGTCCATCCTCTCCCCACCTTTGCTCACCATCTCTGCAGGTGTTCATCCACGCTAACCCTTCTTTCGCCCCATGGCACTGTAGAACAGCGTGTTGACTCGTATGGACGACACATGCCCGCACGGACGATACACTGCTCGCACGGATGACCCGCCTCTCACACGGACGACACGTGCCTGCCGCCTGGACGATACGCCGCCCGGATGATACGCTGCCCGGATGATACGCCGCTCACCCGGATGATACACTGCTTGCACGGACGCCCCGCCTCTTGCGTGGACGATCAGCCTTGCACACGTGGACGACCTGCCTCTCACACGGACGACATGCGCCCGCCTGGACAATACGCCGCTTGCACGGACGTCCCGCCTCTCGCACGGACAACCCACCGCTCGCACGGACAACCCGTTGCTTGCGCGGACAACCCGTTGCTCGCGCGGACAACCCGTTGCTCGCGCGGACAACCCGTTGCTCGCGCGGACAATCCGTTGCTCGCGCGGACAACCCGTTGCTCGCGCGGACAACCCGTTGCTCACGCGGACAACCCGTTGCTCGCGCGGACAACCTATCTCTCGCACTGATCACCCACCTCTCACGCAGACGCCCCACCTCTCACCCAGATGACATGCACTCGCCCGGATGCACTACTGCAAGTGTGGACGGTCGGCCTCTCGCCCAGACAACCTGTTCCTCGCGCGAACAACCTGCAGCGCACCGGAGGTGCAGCGGCCATAGGATTAATTGTGTACATGAAGTGTTGTCCATTGTATACAATAAATCTACCACTACATACGGTGAATCCCCCGGCGCTAATAAGTATACCAACCTGCAGGTGCACCCACATACCCGGGACTTCCCGAACAGCTTGATCTGGATCCGCGGTGACCTGGACCCTCATGTACCCGGATCCGGAATGTGCATGATCCGCAGTACCATCCACAGATCCCTGCAGGTCTACCTGTGTAATAACCTGGACCTGCATACAGCCTTAATCAAAAGTGCTGTGGCTGAAGCGTAATCAGCAATCTAATCCAGATTGTGTGCATCGTTTCGCGATCGGACTTCAATCCCATTTATTGGAGAGAGAACCATGCACTATGAAAAAAGAACGGAGGGGATCCATCCACAATTCCCAATTCTAGTGGATGTGCCCATCAGCAAAAACGGGGGTACATCTGTATCTCCACCAATACTGCTCCGAATGGCATGCTCTTGGATGCGTTTGAAAGCTACATGATGCATCTTTTGATCCATATATAGTGCCTGGCTATTTTCCTATCCCACCCAGCTGTGCAACCCCTCCCGTTTACGTGTGGGAACCAGCTATTGCACCCTATTCCAGCTGCAGGAACCTGCTGCTATCCACTGCTATTTATAGCTATCTTGTAGGCAGCTGCTTGGGGGGCTCCAGGGCAGGGTAGGGTACCTGTATACCAGGTATTAATAGCTGGCCTGGCCAGCCACAATATGAAGCTATTAATAGCTGGACAGTATCTGACGTGAGTTATTACAACCCTGGGGATGTTCTGTCATTACAAATGGGACCTATTACAAGCTTGGGGGGCTGTTGTCATTAGGATATCTACTTATTACAGCCCTGGGAGGCTGCTGTTATTAGGATATTGACTTATTACAGGCATGGGAACTCTTTTCATTAAGATATGGCCTTATTACAAGCCTGGGGAACTTTTTTCATTAGAGACGAGGCTTATTACAAAGAAGGGAACACTTTTTCATTAAGATATTAACTTATTACAGCCCTAGGGACATGCTGTCATTAGAAATGGGGCTTATTACAACTCTGGGAGGCCCCTGTTATTAGAATATAGACTTATTACAAGGCTGGGAGGTTCCTGTCATTAGAATATTGACTTATTACATCTCTGAGGATGCTCTTTCATTAGAATTGTGACTTATTACAGCTCTGGGAACACTTTTCATTATGATATTGACTTATTACAAGGCTGGGAACACTCTTTCATTAGACTTAGGGTCTATAACAATGCCCTGGTGAGTATATAGTACAATGACAATGTGGTGGGGATTAGCAAAACAAGTTTTGCAGGTTCCTGGGGTATTGTATTACATTTGGGGTAACCACAGGTGCCGGCCAGGAGTCCACTCATGCGCCGAGGTAGTGGTCGACACCGACGTGGGCGGTGATGACGTACCGGCCAGCTCCTGCTTGAACGCGCCACTGAGGCGTGCGAGGAGGGGGGTGAACAAGGACGAGCTCGTCGTCGTGGTAGTCGATGATCTCTGCCTCGAGCTCGGCGAAGATGTTGTCCAGGGCATCGTGGTGGCGCAGGTGCGGGGACTCGTCGGGTCCGGTGAGGGTGAGTTGTGAGGGGCTCGCGAGGGTTCTGGAAGGGAGGTTGAGGACTTCGAATTGAACTCCGGGTTCCGCATTCGCGGTATGCGCTCGGACCCAGTTGCGGTGGACCATGAGGAGAGACTGGGCCGCGAGGAGGTCAGCGGTGGGGACTGGGGGCTCGTTCTCCTTGTCGTCTTCTTGAGTGTAAGGAGGAGGCTGCAGGGTGGAGGCGTCTTGGGCACGCGTTACAGTGGCCGGGAGGTCGAGTACTGGCAGAAGGGGTGGAAGATCGTCCGTGGTGCCCATGTTCGCCGGAGTAAGGGCGTTCCAGGCGGCCTGGTTGCGTTCTTGTTCTTCCGGGGCGGGTTCGCTAGGGGATCCCCATTCTACGATGTCGCACGGGATGTTTTCCCAAGGGGGGAGGTGTTGCTGGCTGGTGGGGAGCAGGTCGTCGAGGGCGGCGGCGACCTCGATACTGGTGAGCTGGTCGAGGGCTATGTCGGCAGCTCGCACGAGCAGGGCCCAAAGGGTCAGCGAGGCCTCCTTGGTGATGGTCTTCTAGCTGGCAGGGGCTCCAGTGTAAGGCTGTTTGCAGCTCCGGCTCACTTCGCGGGTAAACCCGCAATGATCCGGAGCCGTGAGCCGGGGATCATGAGCCGGACGGCTCTGGCTCTTTCCGGCTCCGGCTCCCTGCAGCTCCGGATCAAGGGGGCTGAAAATTGGCGGATCTGCGGGTCGATCCACGGATTATCCGCAGATTCTCAATAAATATGCGTATTTATACTATGTAAGATATGCCATTCGAAAGCCATTCGAAGCAGCTTTCTAGCGATATAACATGTGTGTGATTTGGTGCAAAAGTGACTGAGATATTAATACAATACTATTTTGTGTCATTTCGAGTGCTTTTGGCGCCTGCATCCGGCGTCTGCACGCGGGAATTCGTCCCGATCGGGCAGTGTTCGGATTCGAACGCGGGCCTCGCGCGTCACTTGCTCGCCGTTATCCCGCCTCCTCTCCTCACTCCTCCTCCGCTTGCCTTCCACCCTCCGTCCGCGCGGCATCGTCGCGTGTGCGCGCACCGCCGTCCTCAAGGCCTCAAGCCCAGGAGCTGTGCGGTGGGGCCGCGGTGAGCTCCCGCGGCCCCAATCTCCTCTGGTGAGTTCTCCCGCGTTCTTCCCCGTCTCGCGCTCACCCTCTCGCGACCTCTCGCGATTCCCCGCCTTGCCCCCGCCTTGCCCTCGTCCTCCTCGTCCCACGCTTCGCCCTCTGTCTCCTCCGCCTGCGCTACCCTCTGCCTCTTCCCCCACGTCCCTGCCCTCCTCCTCGGATTCGCCTCGCGTCGCTCACCACCAGGTACCTCCGCGTCGTCTTCAGCGCCACCGTCTCGCCCGCACCTCGCGTCTCGCCGCACCTCGCGTCTCGCCGCACCGCGTCTCGCCCGCACCTCGCGTCTCGCGTCTCGCCCGCGTCGTCCACATCTGCCCCGCGTGGCCGGACCCTCCGCCCACACGGCGTTATCCCGCACGCGTGCGTGGCCGTTCTCTGGGGTCGCGGTGAGCTCCCGCGGCCCCGATCTTCCCTGGTGAGTCCTCACCGCCCACACTGCTCCCCGCGTCGCCTCCCCCTCCCCCGCGCTGGCAATGCCTCCAACTCGCTCCCTGGACGACCCTCATCCTCGTCTGCCCGCGGGAATTCGACCCGATCGGGCGATGTTCGGACTCGAACGCTGCGTTACGCGCGGCTTGCCCGTTCTACCTGCAGCCCCTCAAACCTCCTCCTCTCCCCGTCCACACGGCGTCATCTCGCGCGGCCGTTCCCAAGCCTGGGAGTTGAGTCATGAGATCGCGGTGAGCTCCCGCGGCCTCTTTTGGTGAGTGCTTGACTTCTTCCCGTCTCCTCTCTTCCCCGCGTCGTCTCCCCCTTCCAGGTTCCGGCCACGCTCAGGCCAACGGGCGCGCCCGTCTCGCGCTCGCGCTCGTCCGCGCTGCGCTAGTCCACTCCGCCTCGCCTACTCCGCCTCTCAACTCGCCCCCGCGTTGCCAAATCCGCGTCACGTCGTCTGCGTCACCGACGTCGCTCGTGTCGCCCGCATTGCCCAACCTCCGTCATCGCATTCGTGCGCGCCCTGGTGAGTTCCCCGCTGTCCCCACGTTGCCTTCCGCTCCCCCACGTGGGAACACCCGCAACTTGTTCCCTGGACCGCCCTCGCCCTCGCCCTCGCTCTAGCTCTTGCACCTCAAGCCCACGTCAGCCACTCCACCCGTCTTGCCCTGCCTCGCCAAGTCGCCGCCGCCGTCTCGTCCACCTCGTGCTCGCCCGCCTCACCCACTTCGCTCACGTCTCATCCGCGTCGTCATCTGCTTTGCACCCGCGTCATGCCCGTGTCACCCGTCGCGCCCTCGCCTCGCCCCCGCCTTGGCCCTGCATCGCCCGCGCCGCCCACCTGTTCCCGCACCGCTCGCGTCACCCTCGCCACACCCCGTCGTCCTTTCCGTGTCGCCCTCTCCACCTCGCCCACCTCGCCCGCACCTGCGGGCCGCGGCCCTGCTCGCCGCCTATCCCTTGTCCTCCGCATCGTCCTCAGCGCCACACGTCGCCCACGTCCCCCGCCTGCCCTGCATCGCCCATGTCACCCATGTATTGTGCCCGCTTTTCCCGCCTCGCACATGCCTTGGGTTGCCCACCTCGCTCGTTTCGTCCAGTTGTAGTTGTAGTATCTTACTGTATGCTTGTAAAGTAGTAATTCTGTCAATGAAATACCTTTCCACTGGCTTTGAATGATCATGAATGACCTGAAATTAAACAACCCAGTGAGAATGATCCGTATGAGCCTATGATCCGCACTGACCCACAATCTGCAGCTCAGTTTGCGGCTCGACCCGTGGATCACGGCTCCGGGTCGCGCGGCTCCGGCTCTTCCAGCGGCTCTGAGCTGTGCGGATCTGGATCAAGGCCAAAAATGTCACATGATCCGTGGGTTCGGATCCGGATCATCCGCGGATCGAGCCGCAAACAGCCTTACTCCAGTGCGTTGCACAAAGTGGTCGACCTTCTTCCAGACGTCAAACGCCTCGGTCGTGATGCGGTATTCATTGACAAGGGGATAGTGAGGCGGATGGGATAGAGGCGGGGAGCGCAACGAGGAGTAGAGCGGTGGTGGCGAGGCATCTGGAGAAGCGCATTCGAGTCGGGAGTGTGATGAGGGTCAGAGGAGCTTATGTCTCTTCTTATATACCCTCAGAATATCGGGCGCGTTCTTCAAATGGTGCTCGGGTTCCCATGAGTTTTCTGCTGACTCCCAGCCCTTCCACGTCACCAGGTATTCCAATTTGTCTCGTTTGCGTCCCCTCATTCGGTGGTTAAGAATAGCTTCCACTTCATGCTCTTCTTCGCCGTCTATGACGTCAGGAGGTGGACGTGGCATGTCGGGGCCATGTGCTTTGGTGACTCGATATGGAGTCAGGAGCGCGGCATGGAAGACTGGATGAATCTTCCAAGTGCGTGGTAGGTTTAATTTGAACGTTACAGGTCCCATGACCTCTGTGATAATAAAGGGTCCTTCTCGTTTAGGTGCCAGTTTCCAGTGCGGGTATGGGAGGCGGAGGTTGGTTGACTCTAGAAGGACCTTATCTCCTTTCTTGAATGAGACAAGCCATCCTGGTGACCTCCATGTCATTGCCACGGCTGCGTGATTATGGGCCGCAATTGTATTTTCTTGGTCAGCTCGTAGGGTGGAGAGCCGTTCTTCCGTGCTTGGGTATTTCGGGTTCTTCCGTGGGAGTTTGACTAGTTGCGGTTGATAACCATAGAGTAGTTCAAACGGCGATTTCTTTGTTACTGAATGTGTGCATTGATTATACGCGTATTCGAATTCCTTGAGGTGATCCACCCATTCGTTTGGGTTATTGCCGCAATAAAAACGTAGGGCGAGGTCCAATTCTTGGTTTACTCATTCTGTTTGGCCATCTGTTTGCGGGTGATATGCTGTGCTCAATGCGGTTTCTATTCCCATTAGCCGATGTAGTTCCCTGAATGCTCCTGCTACGAACTAGGGGCCTCGATCAGAGATGGTTTTAGAGGGGATTCTAAATTGACTGAAGACTTGGTCCCACAGCAGCTTGGCTGCTCCTTCTGCTGTGATATTCTTTGTGCATGGCATGAAGATGGCCATCTTTGTGACGTTGTGGTCGACGACTACTTGGACTGCATTGTATCCGTTTGATTCTGGTAGATCTGTGATGTAGTCGGTGGTTATGACGTTAAACGGCCTAGTGTTCCCGCTATGTGGGATCGGGAATAATCCTGTTTTAGTTAGGTGGGTGTTGACTTTGGTGGTTTGGCATTTTGCGCATCCTTTTACATATTCGGTGATGAAGTTACGCATTCCGTCCCTTATATAGTCTCTTTTGACTAGTTCGAAAGTCTTCTGAATCCCAGGGTGGCCCATTATGGCTGGTTCGTGATAGGTTTTGACAATGTTGCGATAGAGGTTCTCGTCGGGTGGTATGTAGATACATTCTTTGAATAGCAACAGTCCTTCTTCTTCCTTCCAATCGCTCGGCTTGCCCCAGGCAGGTCGTGGTTTGTCAGTTGCTTTTGTTGTCAGGAACTGTACTAGATCCGGGTTGCGGGCTTTGTTGTTTCGGATTTGTTGGGAGATGTCAATTTGGACAGAGTTGAGTGAGAAAATTTGTTTCGGCAGCATGACCATGTCCTTGTTATCATTCTCCCCCTGTTCATGATCTGTTCTCCTGGACAGAGCGTCGGCTTGCGCAATTGTTTTTCCAGGGTGATGTTTCAACGTGAAGTTGAACTCGTTCATGTAGTGATGCCATCTCGCTTGTCTTGGGTTTAAGCGTTGCGCGGAGCGCGGAGTGGCAATACGTTAGGTTCTGGTGGTCTGTGATGACTTCTACTGGGTGTGGTGATCCTTGCAATAAATGTCGCCATTCCTTGAATGCTCGAATGATTGCCAGTAATTCCCTGTCGTAGATCTGATAGTTTCGTTCTGCTTCTGTGAACGACTTTGATAGATATGCGCATGGGTGCCATATTCCGTCTGTTCCTTTCTGGCGTAGCACTGCTCCTGTCGCTACTTTGGACGCGTTGCATTCTACTTGGAATGGTTCGTAGGGATCTGGCATCTTGAGGATTGGTCCGGTCGTGAAACACTGCTTCACAGTCTTCGTCCCATTTGAATGGAGTGTCCTTTCGCGTTAGCGATGTCAATGGTTTGACCACCTTTGAGTAGTCCTTGATGAATCGCCTGTAGAAATTTCCAAACCCTAGGAAGGCCTGTACTTCCTTCAGTTTGGTTGGTTGCTTCCATTCTAGTACTGCTTTGATTTTTACTGGATCCATGGCTATTTTGTCGGGGCGGATGATTGATCCGAGGAATTCTACTTCTTGTCTATCGAATTCGCATTTGGATGGTTGCAGGTAGAAGTCTAGTTCTTGAATTCTTTTGAGGACTCTTAGTGTCCTTTTGTGGTGTTCCTCTAAGTTGTTAGAGAAGATTAGAATGTCGTTGATGTAGATAACCATCCACCCTTCGCGAATGAGGTCCTCGAAGTTTTGATTCATCATGCTCTGAAAGGTTGCTGGGGCGTTGCACAGTCCAAAGAACATTACTGTGGGTTCGTATAGTCCCTTGGGGGTTATAAATGCGGCCTTCCATTCGTCTCCTTTCTTGATTCGAATATTGTTGTATCCCGCTCTTACGTCCAATTTTGTAAAGTACTTGGCTCCCTTGAGCTTGTCCATCAGGTCGCTGATTAGTGGGAGTGGGTACGCATTTCGGATCGTTCCTTCATTGAGGGCCCTGTAGTCTTGGACTGGTCGTAGTGTTCTATCTTTCTTTGGAATGTAGAAGAACGGCAATGCAAACGGAGATTTCGACTCCTTGATATACCCCTTCCTCATGTTTTCCTCAATGAATTTTTCTAGCTCAGCCTGTTCTGTGAGCATGAGGGGATGGATCTTATTCCATCTCTTGTCCTTGTGGAAATCGAAGCCTGGCTTTAGATCGATTGCATGGTCCCATGGTTTGGATTCTGGAAACCGTTCTGCGGCCTTCTTCTCGAATATCTTGCGATATTCTTTCACGAAGTTCGGTAGGATTTCGTCCAACGGTACTTCGGGTTTCAGTTTATTTGCTTCAATGGCAATTTCCGCTGATTTTGTGGCTCGTCGGATCTTACTGGTTTCAAACCATTCTGTCAGGACCTTGGAGGGGTTGTGTGTTGGTTTATCGTCATCTATGTCCGTTTCTAAGTATGCAAATAACAGTCCTTGATCGTCTGCTTTGAGTGGGTACCCCCACAGGGTTCCTTCGGGGGGTGTCATTGTCTGTCGGGTTTTTTGCAGTTACTGTTGTTTCTTGATCCTATCTTGTTTGATGGTCACCTTCCCGGTTTCCCAGTTGATGATCGGGTTGTAGGTTCAAATCCAGGGCATCCCAAATATTACATCCTCACGTCCGATATTGGCCACATACCAGTTGGTAGGTAGTTGGTTGCCGTTGAGGATGAAGTTTCCTTCTACGCGGTGAGTGATGTTTCCGGAGCTGTTGATTGTGTCGTCTGCGTTTTTGAACCTGACAGGTACTGGTAGTAACACCGTTGGGAGTTTGTATTTGTTCACTATTTGTTTGTTGATAATCACTGTGTCGGCTCCTGAGTTGAGGAGGCCTTTGATTTTGACGGTGATTTTTCCCACTTCAATGTAACCGTTGAGTAATAAGGCGTGTCTTCGCCGTTCGGTATTTGATACAAGGGTTACATGAATGGTGGTTGTATTAGGCAGATCCGGCGTCGCCTCGTCCTGCCGCTCTAAAAATCCTCTGTTTCGTCGATTACAGTAGCGTTGACTTCGGCTTCGGAATCGTTGGGAGGGTCATCTTCTTGGTCCTCCTCATGGTGCGAATCTTCTGCTGTGCCGGTTTTCTTTCTTCTTGGCTGGGCAGAATCGTGCTAGGTGCTTTCCTTTCTTGCAGTAGAAGCATAGTCCCTTGCTTCGTAGGTCTTGTTCTTCTTCCACAGAGAGTTGGTTAACTTCTCCGCTGGGCTTCTCTGTAGTTGTGGTTTTAACCACCTTCGTCTTGAACCTTGGTTTGGTTCCAAGAATCTTGTCCATGTCATTCTTCATCTTCCAGTTCCTGTCTACATCGATGGCTCGCACCATCCACATATTGAGGTCTGCAGGCACCGTGGCCATGTCGAGAATCTTGTTGCGTACTGGGGCATCGAGGGATTGTCAGTACCATGCAGCTGGGTGCGTGGTTCCGTGATGAGTGCCTTCATGATTAGGTCCATAAAGGTTCCGTTAAAGGTGTTGATGGACTCATAATCCTTTGATGTCAGAGTATGCAGTCTGTTGGCAGCATGCATCTCCTCATTGAAGGGCATGAAGGTGGCAAGTAGAGTGGCAAGGAAGTTTCTCCATGTTCCGTAGCCTTGTCTATTTCCTGCTGCATCGGTTTCCCAAGCTTGGCATAGGATGGCTGTCTTCCAGATTGCTGCTGTACCTCCTTCCATGTAGGATAAGGCGGTGGTGATCATTGTTTGGTCGTCCGGGAAGTCGACAGGTCATGCGTTGAATAGCAGGAGTAGGCTTGTACAACGTGTTGAGCTTGTCTCGGTCTCCATTGAATGGTTCTGGTAGTTTAATCTTCCCTTTTCCTTGTAAGGGTATATAACCACCTAAGAGTCCTTGGGGGGTATTCCCACCTGGATTGGCGGGTGGTCCTCCTCCTGGGGGTCCCTGTGGTGGTCCCCCTCCCGGGGTTCTCCTGCTGGGGGTCCTTGTGGTGGTCCTCCTCCTCCTGGAGGTCCTAGTCCTAGCAGTTCTCCTCCTCGCCCAAGAGCAGGTAGCAGGTTCCCCAGGGGGTCACAAGGTAGGTATACCACAATCCCTAAGAGTCGAGGTAGTACCATTGATATTCATGCTGCTGCTGAAGCGCTTGCATTTGTGGGATTTGCACTCAGGGTGAAGCTTGGCACTCCTCGCCGTTCGAAGCTCCATTGAGTATCTTCCGTCCTTTGTTGAAGTGTTCTAGCCGCTTCTTCGTCGTGCCGTCTTCTCATTTCTTCCCAATTGAAGTTTAAGGGGCTTCTTCCTGACTTGTGGTCGGATTCTTCTTCTGGCTGCACTGGTTCGGTGATGGTGGTCCGTACCACCTCTGTTTCTGTGACTGTTGCCATTTCTGGTTCTGGTCCTTGGATTCGGGGTTACGTCTGGTTGTTTACCTGTGCGACTTGTTCCTGGGATTAGGGCCGTTACTGGTTCTTCTTTGGTTGTCAAGGATCTGGGTGTGAGTCTGGTGAATCTCTTGCTCATTGTCCTGAGGTGGTTCTAGCAATCCGGCCAGCTTTGGGGGCATAGGTTGGTATTGCTCCTTAGTTCGCAGTGGTGTCCACAACCTTTCGAGGCCTGTGGGGTATTGCACTGCGAATAGTTCTTCTGTAGTTCTGAGACTGGTTCGTATGGAGGTTCTAGTTCTGGTGTCTTGTACTCGTGTGCTGCCCAGTATCTGATAGAACAGCGCTGTGTGGTGCACCATTGATATCCTGTTTGGTAATGTGATAGTCGGCAGTATTGGTTTGGTTGAAGATGTGGGCATAGTCCTTGCACGATCTATCAGGTTTTTCGTTGCTTCAGTTGACATTCAAATATTCTTGAACCGTTTGAGAGCAATGCAGACTCGCTTGAGTGCTTCGAGGCGGTTGGGGTAGTCGGTGGATGAAGACCCCTGAAGTTGAATATGAACTGTTCGAGATCGGCTACATCGAACTGGAGACGTTGCACGAGCTTGGTGATTGGGTCGTGCGTGTGAAAGGCAGTTTGATTGGTTCTTTGTCCATGTCTGGAACTCCGTAGAATTCACCTAGGGTATCATCCAGGTCTGTAAGCTGCTGGTGGAGCGTTTTAACTCGAGTGCTCCAAATCTTTCTACCAAGATAGGGTCGGTCTGGAGTGTGCTTAGGTTTTCTTCGCCTTGCCTCAGGGCCCTCCTGGGGTGTAGTATTCTTCGACAGTGTCTTCGCTCGAATCCTCTTCTGCCTGAGCCTGTACTGCGGTTCTTTCTTCGTCTTTGTTGATTACTATATCGAAGGGAGTGTGGGGCTCAGGTGATGGGCTATGGATTTCAACGTGAAGGTTGGGTCGTTCGTGGAGAGGGGTCCTTGGCAATAGAATGAGGGGGGTTCCAGGTGCAGCGTATAGGTGCGAGTTGCGGGGATTTTCCCTATGGCTTGTTTCCGAACTTGCGTATTGCTGAATGATATCCATGATTTCCGATGTTTATACTGTGTTCTGCGTTCGAGCAGTACACAGCCTTCCTTGGTCCTAGATAGGTCCTCTGCACTTATCAAAGTGGAGGGTTCGAGACTTGAATCTAATGTTACGTTCAAGACTTATTCCAGACGGAATACAGCCTAGGCGCCCTGTGGTTACGGTGGCTATACTCTGGCGCTTGCGTGCTATTGAGCAAATGTGCGAGCGACAAGAGGATGAGAGTGCACGTAGCTGAGGTAGATGTAGTGTACAGAGGAGATTCAAGTCTGGGGAGGGAGCGCTCAGAGGCGTCGCCCTTATATACAGGGGGAGAGTGGGGGGAGTCATATTATCTGCGAGTCACAACGAGTCCGTATGAGATAGCCCAAGTCGCAATGACCCACGGTGACTAGGAGCGATCAGGGAGTCATGATGCAACTGAGTGAGAAGAGATGGGTCCGTATGAGTCAGGCTGCGATAGGTACGTATTTAGGGGACATGCATATCTGGGGAGTGGGGTTATTGGTGGAAATTAAAATGGGGGCAGTGTACTAGAGTCCACAATCGTAACAGACCTTGATGTGGCCAAGAACACAATAAATTGACTCAATATCAATGATCACTGTCTGGCCCTGTCTTCTGTAGTAGTGGATGTCGAGTGTAGGATGCTTCTCTGTGATAGAACATTGGTGAACAATGGCAAGAACAAGTGTACTGGGACGCAGGCGGGGAGGGAGGGCTGTCGGGATAGGACCAACGTCAACGATGACAATGTTCTCGAGCTTGCTGAAGAATGTGTGCTCTTTGAAGTCCACCAGCTGGCGCTGACGTGAGTGGTTCTTGTCGATGTCCAGCTCGTACTAATGCAAAATAATGATTGGGAGGGATAGGAGTCGCCCAAGGAATGAATAGTGCTTACCCACACATACGTCACATCTCGCCCATCCTCCTCGGGAACCCGTGCCTCGTGTGCAGTCCTGACTGTATCTCCATTGGGAAGGATTTGGAACTTAGCCCACTGTTGGACTGCAGAGGGGAGTGCACGGCAGACTTGAGCATGCGTGGCCGTGAACCACGTGCTGAGCGTTGCACAAAAGGTGTTTTGTAGGGATTTATCGACATTGAGGGTTGAGGATGATGGCAAAAGCGCGCACGATTCATCTGTAGCAACAATTAGTAGATGACTCAGCATAAGAACATGTATTTGTTGAGCATACATCCCGGGATAATTGTGCCAAAGGCCCGCTTACTGGGAGCCATCGCAAGCTCTTCATACACCCCAAAACCGATTTTTATATGTGAGAGTCTTGCAGTGTCAAGAACATAGTTGTTGAGGCTGGACCATGAGAAGCGTCGGTTGGTGATGGCGCGTTGAAGATCTCTGCAGTATTTCTCCATTGGGAAAGCCCACAATGTTCATACGGGTCCCACCACTCAAATGCTATCGGTGATATGAAGAAGAGCATGGACTGTAAGGGGACAAGTGGACAGTCGTGATGGTAAATATTGATAGTAGAGCCTAGTAGTGGTGTATAAAATCAAGACATGCAGCTATTAGTACACGGACAGAGAGAGCTCAGGGGTGACGTACGTTTCATACTTCTCAACCCAGCGCGCAAATCCTTCTTGCACCTCCTCTATCTCCTCCAAGGTGATCTCAAACTGGAGGCAGATTTTGATGAGGCGTACAAAGTTGACAAAGTGATCGTAGAACTTGTCGCATTTGAAGTGGCCGCGCAGGACTACAGGGGCGACGTACTGTATCCAAAAGGATCGAGTATCTGCAGTCCACGAAGTCTTGTCGCTTGCAACATTCGGGGGGCAAGGACCAAAGAAGTAGGGAATGGTGTCGCCAGCGGATGCACTGAGGTTGCCGATGTCTTCCCAGGCTGCTGTAGAGAACTGATATTGTTCGGAGCCCTCGTTGAGGTCCTTGTATGTACCAGCCCATAATGACATCAAGTTCTTTGCGACATTTTCCCAGATCAAATGCATGAAGTCGTAGGGAAAGGAAGATGGGAAGGAGAGGGAGGAGAGGGTGCTGAGAACGGACACACCCTTGATACCATACTCCTTCGCCAGTCTATCTGACTGCGCCTCCGTTTCCGCAAATCGGACTTCTTGGGCTTGATCCATGAACTCTTGGTGTGTGCGAAGAGGAAGTGTGGGGGGATCATAACGCGGGACTGAGTTGGAATCAGTGTGGATATTGGGATGGCGAGAGCAATCAAGAGGCACGTAGTGAACAGTTGCGTGGGAATCAGGAACACAGACACCGCGGATGGAGCACATCCGACATGGACACACTCTGTTATGCCCCTTCATCCTCATCAGCATAGATATTGCCGGTATGTCGCCAAAGACGAGGATGAGGAAGGCCCAGAGGTCGAAGAAGTTGTTGGAGAGCTAAGGCTGTTTGCAGGTCCAGCTCACTTGGCGGATCATGAGCCGATTATCCGGAGCCGTGAGCCGGGGATCATGAGCCGGGCGGCTCCGGCTCTTCCCGGATCCGGTTCCCAGCGGCTCCGGATGGAGGGTGCTGAAATTTGGCGGATCTACGGCTCGATCCATGGATTATCCGCAGATTCTTGAGTGATAGCTCATATTTGTATTTATGTACTACAAACCCTATGCTGTTCGATAGCCATTTGAAGCATCTTTCTAACGATATTATTCTTGTGTAATGTGGCCAAGAATTGACCGAGTAATAGACAAAACATGGCCTATGTTCACTTTGAGGGCGTTTGGCGCCCGCGTCTGGCCTCTGCACGCGGGAATCTGTCCCGATCGGGCTATGTTCGGATTCGAACGCGGCGTCTCGCGCGCGTTCTCGCCCGTCCTCCTCTCCAGCCCCTCACGCACTCCCTCCATCCACGCAGCGACATCGCGCGCGCGTGCGAGGCTGTTCTCGGCATGGGGGGGGGGTCTTCATAGGGCCGCGGTGAGCTCTCCCGCGACCCCAATCTCATTTGGTGAGTCCTCACCGCCCCCTGTCGCCTCCCCCTTCCAGGTTCCGTCTGCGCTCTCCTCTGACCTCGCGCCCTCCACCCTCCACGTCCTCCGCGCTCTCCGACCTCGCGCTCGCGCCCTCCTCTCCGCCACGCCCTCGCCGCCTCATCCCTCGCCCGCGTCACCATCGCCCTCGCCCACAAGCCCACAAGCCCACAAGCCCCGTGTCGCCCACGGCGCTCGCTGCCCCGAGTCGTCCACCACACCCTTGCTCACCCTCGCCTCCACGCCGCCCTCGTCTCGCCCCCTCGTCGCCCCACGTCGCCCTTTCCTCGTCCACCTCGCGCTCCTGGCGCCATCCACCCTCCTACCTCGCGTTATCCACGTCGTCTGCCCTTGCGCCCACCTTGCCCACTTCACCTCACCCGTCTCGCCCCTCTCTCTGCCTCAGACCTCAGCCACGTCGTCTCGGGACCTCGCCCGCACCACACGCCTTGCCCCCCCGTGTCAACTCCGTCTCACCCTCACCCATCTCGCCCTCAACATCCTCGCCTGCGTCGCCCGTCTACTATTTCCGTGTTGTCCACGCCACCCACCTGCCCACGCGTCGCCCACCTTTTCCCGCATACGTCGTGCCCGCGTCGCCAGCATTTCCCGCACGTGTCGCGCCCGCGTCGCCAGCATTTCCCATGTCACCCACTACCTCGCCCGTGTCGCCCACCACGCCTGCATTTCCCGCATTACCCACTTCGCCCACTTCGCCCGCGGCACCCACACCCACCTCGCCGCCCACACCGCCCACCTGCCCCGCGTCTCCCGTGCGGTCACCACAACACCTGCTTTCTCCGCGTCGCCCGCGACCACGCCTTGCGCCCACGCCTTGCGCCCACGTCGCCCCCGCGTCATCCTCCACGCCCGCGTCATCTTCCACACCCTCGCCTTGCACTCGCCTTGCCCCCGCGTCCACCACGTCGCCCGTGTCTCGCCCGTCTCGTCCACATCGCCCGCCCCTCACGCGTTGCCCGCCTCCCCTGCGTCACGCCCGCGTCCCCCGTGTCCCCCACTATGCCTTCACCCCGCTTAGCCTGTAATGATAGTACATTAGCTTAAACATACCATCAATATATCTTTTGAAAGGTACATTACATGTGTGGATCTGTGGGTCGATCCACGGATGAGCCGGAGTCGGAGCCGTGGCTCCGGCTCTTCCAGCGGCTCTGATCCATGTGGATCCGGATCAAGCCCCCAGAAGTCACTCAATCCGTGGGTTCGGATCCGGATCATCCGTGGATCGATCCGCAAACAGCCTTATGAAGAGCATGTCGTAAGCGCAGACTCCAACGGCGAGGTGCAGTAGTTCCTCCGTGAATGGCCATAGGAATGAGTTGATGTCGACGGGCTTCTTGGGACCAGGGATGACACCTAGGCCGATGATGTTCTTGAGGAGGAAGCGGACTTCTGGAGGGAGGTTGTAGTTGAATGCGATAAGTGGCCAAGTCATCTTCGAACGGCGCTTGAATGGTGCGAAGCCGTCTGTCGACAAGCTGAGCGCAAAGTCATGGGGATCTTCGAAGAACTTGTAAGGGAGAGAACGGCCGTTGACCTCGACGTTATTTGTAAGCAGTCCATGATAGTTCGTGGAGTCGGTGACATCTTTGACTATGTCTGGGTTGTGGGCAGCTTGAGCCTGTGCGCGATGCCGCATCTTCATGGCCGTGTCAGCGCGACTAAGGTAAGCTTTCAAACGAGGGGTGATGGGGAGATAGATGAAGAGTTTGCGAGGCTTTCCATGCAAATTGTACCGGTTGGATTTGCAGTATGGGCATGTGATCTTCTCTTCGTACAGACCTGTGAATGCACAGCACGAGTTGATACAGCAGTGATAAATTTGCGGCTGGAAGCCGGACAGACGGGCGACATGGGCTTGAGTTTCCTTCCAAGAGCGAAAATTGCTGTTCTTGAACGCGAATGGGAGGCGAGAGAAGGCATCTAGAGTCATGTTTGTTTCCACCTTGAGAGCGAAGGGGCGAAGGATCTCTAAGTCTTCCTCAGTGAGATCGTTGGGTCCTAATGTGCATCATGCGGTGGTAAGAAACCCTGTGAAAATGGGTGTATCCATCTCCACATACCTCTGATCATCCCCTCGCGCATGAACAACTCTGCAAGCTTGTCCCAGATGAAGATTGTCTCATACTCCACATCTTCTGTATCCTCTTCCTCGAACAGCTGTTGAAATGCGTGCTCTTCCTCCACGTCTTCAGCTGTCTGCGGGAGACCATGAACAGCCTCTGGGCCAGGAGGTGCGTTGTCTTCATCTTCTATGTCTTCAACTGTTGGTGGTCTGTACCAGGTGTGACCTGCCCGTATGTCGTGCAGTGCTGCAGTGGGATTGTCGGGGTCGGAGGTCTCAGCGGGGATCTCAGTGGTGTGTGGCTGATGGTTGATGTCCATAGATGCGGTGGGAGATGGGTGACGAGAAGGAGGGGCAGATGTAGGAGGAGTCCGGGGGTTGATGAGGTCGTTACTGGGGGTTGGGAGATCAGCATCTGCTGCTACTACCAAGTGGGGTGGTCGCTTTCCCGGCCGACAATCTTCCAGCAGACTCCAATTGTCTTCTTCAGGGCCAAGTTCCTCCACTTGACGTATCGCTCGATAGAGCACAGGCCCTTTTCCGCAAAGATGGCGCCGGATTGTGCTGGGGCGAAGGTGTTGATTGCAGCCGCATGTACATTGGTCAAGGATTGTCTCAGGCTAGGCTTCCCAGGTGCGATGTGGGGGCATGACTCAGGTCTCGAATGAGCGAGAGGAAAGAGCTGGTAGATGGGAGAACGGAGCAGTAAAGGATGTACAGTGGTGATAGTATGTACAGTGGTGATAGTGACTATGGAGGGATGTGGGGCGGTAGGTGTACTGGCTCGTGCGCAGAGATGGAGTTTGAAACCTGGTTTCAAGGTGTAAGCCGACAGCCGAGAGGGACGAAACTGGAGCAAACAAACACACCATATAAAACTCCCTGGCGCTCGCCTCAGCCTTCCACCGCCCAATTTTCCCCCACCATTTTCTAATCCCCGGCTGCATCGCAAAGTCTAGCCAGTGCCAGCCAGAGTCAACTCCTCTCCTTCTAACCCCACCCTCGTTCTATCAGCCCCCAATTGTCGCCGTGATGCCGGTATGTACTCACATCATAATCCTATCGACCATCTCTGTATGTCGTGTTGTGTTGATTTGTACTTGGGTGTATCTGCTGGTGCAGGCTCCCACCAAGAAGGTTCTCAAGGAGCGCATCAAGGAGCTTGAGCACCAGCTCAACGAACATCAAGGTCAGCAGACATTTTTGACATGGACCAATGCCACGTCACTCACCTTCTATCCATATATCATGTGCTCGAGGTCGAAGCAGCTCAACAAGAAGCCCGTGCTGCTCAAGAAGGCCTGGCAGCTGCTCACGAGGAGGCTGCGACTGCTGCCGAGCACGTCGCTAACACCCGTCGCGAAGCCGAGGCTGCATAGCAAGCTTCCACCACTGCCGACGCTGCCCTGGACACATTGCAGCAACAGCTCGACCAAGCACTCGCAGCTGCCAATGCAGCCAACATAAACCAAGCTACTGCAGCTGCCAACACTGCAGCAAACGCCAACCAGGGTGGTGGGAATGTTCCAGGCCCTGTTGTGAACATAATTCCCACCCCTCACAGTCCTGTCTCCATTCGACATGCCATGGGAGTCACTCAGAACCTGTATGCCAATATCCAGGTGCGTCAATGCTGTGTATGGTAGATATGTACATTGAGCTCACTTGTTTGTTGACCCTCCCTATCGGTTCTCAGTGCCACGTGTCCAAATGCAGCACACCATTCGCACACTCACTATCTGCTCGCAGCTGGACTGGACTGATGACTTCCGTCGTCAAGACCCAGAGTGCCTTGCCATGCTCTTCCGTGCAGTACGTATCTGTCATATTCCATGGTATTAGCTAACAGTTACTTCAGGCACGTACCGCGCATCCCGAGCTCCGCCGCTATGAGAACAACTGGGCCATGGCTGCAATTGCTCGTCAGTACATGCAAAACAAGTGCAAGCACGCTTACCGTCAGGGTTACATCAGCAAGAAGGCCCGCAGACGCGGTCACAGCGGAGCTGAACGGGTGTTGGGCAGACGTGGTGGCCAGCGGGACAGCAGCCCCGAAGCGGGTGCTGGTTCAGGTGTGTCCACTTGAATGCGCGTCTGCATTGCAACTTGTGAGTCACTTGCACGCTCATCTCTGGTTCTCATCCTACCCACGCCACACGTTCAACACGCGTTGGTCGCCCACACACTTGTTTCTGGTTTTTTGCGCACCCACTGTCGTTGTTGTGCCTTCCTCTACCATATCAACATTGTTCCTTATGTTTTGCTCCCGCGTGGCAGTCTCCTTTGCATCACAAAATCCTTATAACCCCTGCCTGGCATATATCATCTACTTTTAATCATGTTGTCGTCACCATACCTGCCACTCTTTTTCCTGCAGACCTGCATTATCGTAGCACTGATCTTCAATGGAAGTAATGTTAAATCTACCCATCTATGAGATGTGCGACTAAGTACCAACTAAAATGGTGCATCCTTGATGGTGAATGCTCACTACATCTGCCATAGTACAATTCACCCGCTTCAAACATGTTGCATTCACCTATCTTAAGCACCAAGTCTTGATGTGGTGAACACCACCTGCAAAACCCCTCATTTTCGCCCTTTCTGACACATAGTGAATCAGTATAAAATCTTAGTAAAAGCCAACAAGTATTTCAGCTGCTGAAGTTGTGAATACCCGCTAGCGCTCTGCGTGGGAACTTGGTACAGTCCACCGTCTCCGATAGGGAGTACCACCCAAAAGTGGCTGGTGATCTTATCGGTGAATTCCACCCTTTGGTGGGCGCACAGTGTACAGTCTCGTATCCATCTTCTGTCCGGTCTGACCTCTGCGCCACTTATGTCTTCCCATCACTGCTTACATATGCTACTCCTAGACAGTATATAGGGAGGACTCTGGCTTGCACTGCTCTTCAGTCGTTCTATCACTGACTGAGGAGTAAGTACCCCACTCTATGTGCTCCTTTATACATATACTTACTATATCTGTAGTCGCACCTGTGGTCACCACAGATGTAATACAATCCCCCAGGTACCTGGGAAGTCCATTATGCTGAGGCCCACCATGTTTTCATTGTAGAAAACCCTGGTGAAGCAATAACAATAGCAGCCCTGCAAAGGCCTGTAATACTATGTATGTGTCGTGTTATTATTACAGCTGCATCCCCTGGCTGTTAAAAGTGAAATATCTAATCACAGCACTTCCTCTATGCTGTTATAACCAACATATCTAATGACAGGACACCCTCTGGGTTGTTAAAAGCGAAATATCTAATGACAGAACACCCTCTGGGTTGTTATAGGCATATATCTAATGACAGCACACACCCTGGGCTGTCAAAAGCGAAATATCTAATGACAGAGCCTCCCCTGGACTGTTAAAAACAGAATTCTTAATGACAGAACCTCTGCTGCACTGTTAAAAGTGAAATTCTTAATGACAGAGCATTTCTCAGCTGTTAAAAGTGATGTCCTTAATGACAGAGCCTCCCCTGGGCTGTTAAAAATGCAATTCTTAATGACAGAAACTCCTCTAGGCTGTTAAAAGTGATGTTTGTAATGACAGAACCTCCCCTAGGCTGTAATAACTGACACCAGGAACCCGCTGGGACCTACCTAGCTATAAATAGCCAGGTGCAGGTAGTGCTACAGGTGGGCATTCTGGTTGGTATAATGGGCTGGAATTAGGGTAAATAGGTAGCTGAAGGTGACTATAGCTGGAATGGTGCATTTGGGCTGGTCTGGGCAGCTGGAATGGGGGGCAATAGCTGGTGGCCGATGGGGGCATTGGCTAGAATTGGGAATTCTCCATCCACAATTCCCAATTCTAGCCAATGCCCCCATCGGCCAAAACAGGGGTGCATCCATATCTCCACCAATACTGCTCTGATCAGCATGATCTTGGGTTCTCTAGAAAGCTGTTTTATGCCCCTTTTGATTGATACATAGTGCCTGATGATATTCCAGCCCTGTGCTGCACCCCAGGCTGGCCATTTACAGGTAAATACCAGCTATTGCCCCCCATTCCAGCTGCCCAGACCAGCCCAAATGCACCATTCCAGCTATAGTCACCTTCAGCTACCTATTTACCCTAATTCCAGCCCATTATACCAACCAGAATGCCCACCTGTAGCACTACCTGCACCTGGCTATTTATAGCTAGGTAGGTCCCAGCGGGTTCCTGGTGTCAGTTATTACAGCCTAGGGGAGGTTCTGTCATTACAAACATCACTTTTAACAGCCTAGAGGAGTTTCTGTCATTAAGAATTGCATTTTTAACAGCCCAGGGGAGGCTCTGTCATTAAGGACATCACTTTTAACAGCTGAGAAATGCTCTGTCATTAAGAATTTCACTTTTAACAGTGCAGCAGAGGTTCTGTCATTAAGAATTCTGTTTTTAACAGTCCAGGGGAGGCTCTGTCATTAGATATTTCGCTTTTGACAGCCCAGGGTGTGTGCTGTCATTAGATATATGCCTATAACAACCCAGAGGGTGTTCTGTCATTAGATATTTCGCTTTTAACAACCCAGAGGGTGTCCTGTCATTAGATATGTTGGTTATAACAGCATAGAGGAAGTGCTGTGATTAGATATTTCACTTTTAACAGCCAGGGGATGCAGCTGTAATAATAACACGACACATACATAGTATTACAGGCCTTTGCAGGGCTGCTATTGTTATTGCTTCACCAGGGTTTTCTACAATGAAAACATGGTGGGCCTCAGCATAATGGACTTCCCAGGTACCTGGGGGATTGTATTACATCTGTGGTGACCACAGGTGCAGACTGTCAATGTACTTGTAGCGTCGGACACCTCGTCCACGTCGAATGAGATCTCTGCTTCCTGGTACAACACGGCTAACACCGCTAAGTGTGATTCTCACTTCGCAGTCTGGTGCATCAATTCAGGTGCTTCACCTCACGTATGAGCATACAAGCATGACTTCTCCTCGTACACTCAATATTGTGAGCCTAAAGTTACGATTAATGAGGTACAAATGAATTGTTCTTTATGGAGTGGGCTCAGACTGCAACGCGCGACACATGGAAAATGCTAGTCTCTGGGATTTTTGTTACTTTTCAATAGCACAGCCACTTCCCATGCATAGCTTTTCTACTTACTACCATCACCCTAGCTCTGGGTTAGGGTCCCCCTGTAGGGTTCCACTAGTGCTGGGTTTGCACTGCCACCTGGGCCCAGCGCTTCACTCCATTCTATGCTTTGTAGTACCTGTTAGTGTCTACACCTATTCAACTAGACTGAGATGGGCGCTCTTTGGGGGCTTCAATCAGACTCTATCTGGACTACTACTAGCAATACACTCAATATTTATCAGAATTGATTCAATTTTTGAAGGGCTGATTTCAGAAAAGTGAGGCTTCTGCAAGTTATTTGACACCCAGTGGCTGTAGCGCCCTGCCCCTGCCCACTACACCCACATCTGCCTACCAGTAAATCAAATCAATTCCCTAAAATGCTGATTATATTTGTAGATGTAGTGCTCATAGTAAGTGATCTAAATGTGAAGGAAGCGCATATTGTAGCGCGGCAGTTGGACTGTGGTAGAGTCTACAACATACAGCCTATATGTTGTAATAGCTGGTATAAGCTCAGATGGTGTCTGTTAAAAATGGTTGTAGATTCGTTGGATGCGCATTAATAATGCGAATGTGGTGGTATGGGTCATGTGATACAGGAAGTGCATGTGGTGGAATGGTTTGAGTAACATTGGTAGCACACTGTCTGTATAGTGACGCGGGAGCGGGCCGCGAACGCCAATCGGAGGAGAGGGAGGGGTGGATGGGTGTAGATAGAAGTTGGATGACCTCGATGTAGTGGTGCAGAGGCGTCGCCAGCACTAGGCGCAAAGCAGACACAAACTAGAGTCACATGAGGGATGTCTAGCCCACAAAGACCAAGTTAACATGGCTCTACATACATACAGGCAATCGAGATACTCACCTAGCCCACAAAGACCAAGAGGTCGAGATGAGGGCTAGGCCACAAAGTGCAAGTGCTATGTGAGTCCGCAATACGGGCGCTTAAGCGCGGGAACAACCTTCCAATATAGTAAAAGGCAGAGAAAAGGCAAAGAAAAGACGAAAAATAATACATAGGGCGAGTCTAGAGTCCGTTCCATGACATATAGTGTATGGCTGGTTATAAGCTTCTTTCTAAACCAATCACTATATGTGTAGGTGCATTATAACACCGCTTTAATGGGCTACAAGACAGTATATGTTATGTTATGTATTGCGCATTGCAGCTGCTATACTGAAGCAACTACTGCTTAGCATTGTTGACTGGGTTATAGTGCTGTTCCTGGGAATATGCTTACATAACATATACCATTAGAAAGCCACTTCGAAGACATACTTGTCATACTTTAAATCATAAGAAACGGACAAGAAATGAGCAATAGAGAGTACAAGCAATGTTCCCATATGCAGTTGCCTAATATGGTGTGTGAGAAAAGTGTTACATAAGCACCAGCAGCGCACTCCCATCCCTGCTGCTACTGCTCCTCCTCTCTTGGGGGACTCTCATGCACCCTTCACTTCTGTTGCCTGGATTTTGGCCAAAGTCAGTGCTTATGAGTGGGAGAATGCCCCCCCACAGTCCCTGTGCTCCTGTACCATGCCTACTCGGTGCACTGATTTAGAGTGGTGGTCTTGAGCCTGGGATGCCTGCGACATTGCCATTTTGGGTGGCCAGGTTGTTGGAGCATAGACCAATTTCTGTGTGAGATGGATTCAGCATTCTCTTCAACTCTCTGGTAAGCTTTGGGTGTCTGTGGGTGTTAGGTAGTTATGCTTTCATGTATTTGCTCATCTCCATGGTACTTTGACGTCACTGTGCCTCCCTCCCCATGCCTCATCACTCTCAGAACAATGCCAGATTGCTCCCAGGTGCGTGCTCTTTCTGTAGACCCCCCATTTATCCCCCACTTTGCATTTTTCATCCCTCTGTGCGCATATTGATGATGTGGGTTAGCACAGCGCTCACAGGCATCTATTTCAGAGGCACCCATTGGGCTGCTGCATCCACAAGCCTTGCCTGCTATCCGTCCCTTTCCTGTGGTCAGATTTGCTTCATTTTTGGTAAGTAGGCACTAGTAGCACTGCACACATGATCTATATACTTTGTTTCATCATGTCATGTCATTTGAGCCCATAATAGCATGTTTAGAGACTAGGAACAGCCACCGAACGCATCTCAGCGCTTCTGGGCGCCTATTTTCGCACTCAGCCACAGCCACCACAACTAGCTAAGGTATGCCCAGCACAGACTCGACTACGTGTGATTCGTGTGACGGATCACGTGCAAGTGACCAATAAGTCCTCGACAAGTCTGGCGTCAATGCTAACATTAGCGCGCATCGTGCGTGGCGGTCTACATACGAAGTCTCCAAACTATACAGTAGAGTAATAGTGCTATGAACTACTGCGATATGCATCAGAGAGATTAGGGTGCTTTCTGCGCTATATGGTCATCAAACTGCCGTAAAATATCATGGGGTAATGTACGGTGACCGGAGTACTTCTTCGCAGCCCACGCAGCTCCAGGCCCTGTGAGTCCGCTGCGGTATGCATCCATGAAGCGGAGGGCACGATTAGTAAATCAACGTATCTTCAGTATATCTACTTGATCGAGACAAGCAAGTAAGTTTCTTTCTAGATCTTTCTCAGATGAGGATGGTGGGAACTCCTGGTAGGTCCGTTTCCCCTCGCACTAGCACTGTTCAATAGGATTTATTTCGCAGTGAAACTTCGGGAGGAAAATGAGTTCAAACCCCCTGAGAGCGACAGAGTGATTCGGCAAGGGTCTCAGCATTCTCGAAGTCTGGCTGATTGTACAGCAGGCACCGGCAGCAACATTGATCCACGTTTGGAGGACAGTTGAAGGATGGGCACTCAGAGCGCAAACCCCGCACATCCTCAAAGCTGCGCTCTTCGAGCAACTGAACCATACCCTTGAAGCGGCCACGGAGGTCGGGATTAGGGTGGTCATCAGGAAAGTAGAGTTCTTGTATGGTTCCATCGGAAAAGGTTGTGTTTGCCATTCTGATCTTCTACTTCCGCAGCTTGCCATTCTCGTTGTTACGATTAATGAGGTACAAATGAATCGTTCTTTATGGGGTGGGCTCAGACTGCGACGCGCAACACACGGAAAATGCTAGTCTCTGGGATTTTTGTTACTTTTCAATAGCACAGCCACTTCCCACGCATAGGTTCTCTACTTACTCCCATCACCCTAGCTCTGGGTTAGGGTCCCCCTGTAGGGTTCCACTAGCGCTGGGTTTGCACTGCCACCTGGGACCAGCGCTTCACTCCCTGATACACTTTGCAGTGCCTATTAGTGTCTACACCTATTCAACTTGACTGAGATGGGCGCTCTTTAGGGGTTCCAGTCAGACTCTATGTGGACTACTACTATGAATATACTCAAGATTTATCGGATTTGATTCGAATTTTGAAGGGCTGCTTTCAGAAAAGTGAGGCTTCCGCAAGTTATTTGACGCCCAGTGGCTGTAGCGCCCTGCCCCTGCCTACTACACCCACATCTGCCTACTAGTAAATCAGATCAATTCCCTAAAATGCTGATTATATTCGTGAACCTAGTGCTCATAGTGGTTGGTACGATTATGAAAGAGGCACTTATTTATACATAGTGGGTGGGGTGTAATGGGGTCTACGACATATGGCTCATATGTTGTAACTGCTGGTATAAGCTCAGATGTTGTCCGTTTGGGATGATTGTGGGGTTTTTGGATACGTATTGACGAGCTTAACCTAACGGTGCATATCATGTGATACGGGAAGCAGATGCTGTGCAATAGGTTGAGTAACACTAGTAGAACACTATATGGACAGTGTATGACTAGTTATAAGCTGGTTTCTGAACCAATCACTATATATGTAGGTGCATTGTTGTGTTGTGTATTGTGCATTGCAGCTGCTATACTGTAGCAACTACTGCTTGGCAGTGTTGACTGGGTTATAGCACTGTGCCTGGGAATATGCTTATGTAACATACACCATTCAAACGCCACTTTGAATACGTACTTGGCATAGTTTAAATCATAAGAAACGGACAAGAGATGAGCAATAGAGAGTACAAGCAATGTTCCCATATGCAGTTGCCTAATATGGTGTGTGAGAAAAGTGTTACATAAGCACCAGCAGTGCACTCTCATCGCTGCTGTCATTCCTCCTCCTCCTCTCTTGGGGGACTCTCATCCACCCTTCACCTCTGTTGCCTGGCTTTTGGCCAAAGTCCAGTGCTTATGAGTGGGAGGATGCCCCCACCCCCCAGTCCCTGTGCTCCTGTACCATGCCTACTCGGTGCACCGATTTAGAGCGGTGGTCTTGAGCCTGGGATGCCTGCGACATTGCCATTTCGGGTGGCCTGGTCGTTGGAGCACAGACCGAGTTCTGTGTGAGATGGATTCAGCACTCTCTTCAACTCTCTGGTAAGCTTTGGGTGTCTGTGGGTGTTAGGTAAGTGTTGTTTGTCTAGTTGCTCATCACCATGGTACTTTGACATCACTATGCCTCCCTTCCTATTCTCTATCACTCTCAGAACACTGCTAGATTGCTCCCAGGTGTGTGCTCTTTCTGTAGACCCCCCATTTATCCCCCACTTCGCATTTTTGGCCCCTCTGTACACATACTGATGATGTGGGTTAGCACAGCGCTCATGGGCGTCTATTTCAGAGGCGCCCACGGCACTGCTACATCCACAAGCCTTGCATGCCATCCATCCCTTTCCCATGGTTGGATCTGCTTCATTTTTGGTAGATAGGTACTAGTAGCACTGCCCACATGATCTATGTACTTTGTTTTATCATTTTGTATGCTTTGAGCCCATAACAGCATGTTTAGAGTCTGGGACTGGCCACCCAGCCCATCTCAGCGCTACTGGGCGCCTATGTTCGCTCTCAGCCACAGCCACCACTGCCAGCTACTGCAAGCCACACCTAGCCACCTAAAATTGTCATCCACAAGCCCTGGCTACAATCCACCCTCTTTTGGTGGGGCTGTGCTCCCCAATCTTTGTCAGCAGCCTCTCCCATGCCTCTCTGCCATATATGGACACTGTTTGCCACTGTTTGCCCCCTCCTGCCCCTTCCACAGCTGCCAGTGGCTGAAAGTGCAGCTAGGTGCCTATTTTGAATGCCTTTTTCAAACTCAGCTCAGCTCAGCTGGTACAGCACCTGGGTGGGGGACCCAGGAGCCTTGGGTTCAATCCCTGGTAGTGCCGCTTTTTTCTACATGTGGCTGTGCTATGCAGGCCTGGTTGTAACAATGGGTATTCAGGTTTTGTAAAATCCAATCAATTGTCTGAAATCCTGATTATATTCATGAAAGCAGCTACTATAGAGTGTGTTACTAATCTACCTACAGCTCGACTTTATATCCATTAGATAAGGCACAGTGTAGATGTTATCACTGGTGCCTACTAACTTTGGATATGGGGTGATTGTATATACATCAGAAAGCTATGTAGAAGGCCTATATGACTGCAACCCCTTTGTTGACCCTAGTTCCCTCTTCAGGTGGTCTAGAAATAGAGAACAATAGTGTGTACTCTGTCTCTGTAAAATCAAATACAGCACCTAAAATCTTGACTATATCCAGAAGGGCAGCTATAACACAGGGTGCTGTACTGTATTGGATTTTATCTGCATAGTAAGCACTTTAGTACTAGCTTTCACAATGTTTGCACTTCTGCTATATATTCTATTCTTGTTTGTCTGTAATGATGGTAGTGGTGTTCAATATAGCTTATTAAGGTCTCTCATATCTTCTCATTATATTCCACATCTCATTAATCGTTTTCTGCCAGTAATGGCCCACTCCTACCAAGTAAAGGGGCTTCCCGGACGGGCCAATCACATTTGTCCTGACTCCCCACAGAGATTTGTCTGGCTTTGTTGACCACTTCGACATGTGCCGTGCCGATAGAGCGCCTTCGGCGTGTTTCTTGTGGATTGTTGCGTTGTCGACAATGAACATGAAGCGATACTCTGGATAGTCTCGCTCACAGATATCTATTGCGGCAGTGAGTTGGACCAGGAAATGATCTGAGGTGAAGTATCCGTCCCGGATCTTCCCTGCCCGAAGGAGAACACGAGCAGATTGACTTCCATCTTTGGATCACAACCAGCCAAACTGGGAGGAAACGAAATCGGCGACCATCAAGGATGCGCCCTCGCCTTTCATCTTTGGCTATGGTGTCACCCCCGGCTTCTGCCATGCCACATCCCGTCGGTCGTGAGCATAGAACGTTGATTCATCATGGAAGAGGTACACCATTGGTCGCTGTTGGGGGCCAATGATGCATGGGCCGAAAAACGGGAGGGAGCGGCCGTCACTGGAGTCGAATTGGGAGACCTCATGGTCGAGCTCCTGCAACCGTGGCAGGAATTCATCTTGGCGGTATGCCACGACATCCTCTCGTTCATTCCCATCGATGAACTGACCGGAGGGTGCCTTCTGCCACCGAAAACCCAGTTCCAACATCCAGACGTGGGCACTTGCAAGTGAGACCTTGATTCTGATGCCGAACTTCTCCTTGATGACTGGATCCGCAAGATATTCAACAATGTCAAGAGCCCGTACGTGCTTCCCCATTCCAAGCAGCTTCGCCATGAGTTCACTCTTTAACAGGCTGTTGGATTCCAGAAGAGAGACTTTTGAGTTGACCCCACGTGTCTCTAGGGGAAGATCGTGCCAGTTGACAATGAAGGCGTAGGTCCGCTGACGGAGGACTTTGGCGTGCGTGGGCCCCTTCTTGTGCAGCAATGCGACGTGTTCTGATGCCGCAGTCCACCCCATCCGTTGTTGCTCTCCGTTCGGGCAGGCCGTATACAGCTAGAGTAAGTTCTTCATTTCGATCATGCAGGCATGAAGCCGATCATCCCCCAGGTCAAATGATCTGTGGCCAGGCTTGCCCTTTGGACGAGGGGGAGATAAGAGCAACAGCATATCGGCATGGGCCTGCTGTGCATCCTCGAGGGCAGGTGGGAGCCCGCTTGCTGTACGTGAAATGGTAGCTGATATTCGCAGACTGGCTGGCTCGGAAGGTGCTGGAATCGCACTGGAAATGGACTGTGAGACGGGAGCCTCGGAACACTGTGCCGGTGCTGCTGAGGGAAACACTGCGGCCGGCGACAAGGTGCATGGGATGTCAGCACCTGAGGGCTCGCTCGACCATGTGGGAGTCGTGATAGACGCGAAGGTGAGCTCGAGCCTCGCTCGAACGTCATGTATGGGCCGAGAGAATGACGACATGGCACTTCTGTTTGCATACAGGACCTAGTCTAGGTTAGGTGAGCACGCTATGACAACATACATGCCACACACCATACTATACTCATTCACCAACATCGACTCATCGCATCCACGACAGACCTCGCACGGTGTTGAATCACTGCTCAACGTGGAGTCTTGGAGGGGAGCCGACTCAAGAGCATCATCAAGACGCCCCTTCTTGCAGGCCCGGGCTCTTGCTGCGCTCTCAACACGCTTGTAAGCCCCGGCTTTCCGTTTGGGCATCCCCTCGCACCCCACGACGGTCCACAGAACAGGCAAAACTTCTGGCAATATGGGCACGTCATAATATTCCATGTATTTACCGCTTGCCGAGCAGGATATTCAACAAATTCTATCTACACTGTGGATATGTCGCCTGTGTACAATCAAGCTTGATAGAAGGGTGCATGGACACGATACCAATAGAACTATCAAGAGACATTGAGTGTGCGGGGGGAGCTCTAGTATCCTATCAATTTACTCTCTCGGGCCCCGCAGAACTGGCCGAAGCGTGACACTTCCAGGTCATGTGACGTAGTCGAGTCTGTGCTGGGCATACCTTACTGGAAGCCACACCCAGCCACCTAAAATTGTCATCCACAAGCCCCAGCTGCAATCCATCCTCTTTTGGTAGGGCTGTGCTGCCCAATCTTTGTCAGCAGCCTCACCCATGCCTCTCTGCCATATATGGACACTGTTTGCCACTGTTTGCCCCCTTCTGCCCCTACCACAGCTGCCACAGTGGCTGAAAGTGCAGCTGGGTGCCTATTTTGCACGCTTTTTTCAAACTCAGCTCAACTCAGCTAGTCCAGCTGAGTAGAGGACCCAGGAGCCTTGGGTTCAATCCCTGCTAGTGCCGCTTTTTCTGCATGTGGCTGTGCTATTTAGGCCGGTTGTAACAATGGGTATTCAGGCTTTATAAAATCCAATCAATTAGCTAAAATCCTAATTATATTCATGTAGGCAGGCACTATAGAGTGTGTTACTAATGTGCTTACAGCTTGGCTTTAAACACATTAGATGTGGGACAGTGTAGATATAATCACTGGTGCCTACTAACTTTAGAGAGCCCTTGTGACCTCAGTTCTTATCTGTTGGGGGTGATTTTATATGCATGAGAAAGCTATGCAGAAGGCCTATATGACTTCAACCTCTTTGTTCTCTCTAGCTCCCTCTTCAGGTGGTCTAGCAATGTAGAATGATAGTGCCTCTGTAAAATCAAATACAG